AAAAAAGAGGCCCCAAGACCCCCCCACGACGGCAGTCAGCGCCTACTTAGGTATTTCTAGGACAGCACTGGGTTCGCTCAATCCCTATGCTCATGAACATACTCTAAATTAAATATGATTATATTATAGAAAGAAACAAGTACATCACAAAAGAACTACTATGAAGGATATTTTCAAGCAGAACATTAATGATTACTCTATTAATAGCTTTAATGTTTGTAAAGAAGGAGTATGAGATAACTTGCTACCAATTTCGATATGTAAAATAATATGCTCTTAATTAATCTTTAGCTTTCTATCTTCCTTCCTAATAATGACATTTGTACAATTCATAACTTTGAATGAAAGATAGTTAAAAATCCCTTGAACTATCAAAAGAATATTTAATCCATTCACATTAAACATGAGTGTTATGTCTATATATTATAACCACCTTTTAGATCACTGAACTCTTTTCCACGGGGAAATCAAATCTATTTACCACCTTAGAACTCAACAAATCATGTGTAGGCACTTAGATGAAAAAGAATGTTAAATTCACTACACTAAATATCCCTCTTCACTTTCAAAAGTTGATGAACTTAGGAATTAAGTTTTTGACCATATTCACCTCACTATTTCATAATCACTTCACAAGGGGACAATTCTTTCCATGATGACTATGCTTGTAACAACCTTTTAATGTGCCATCTGTTGTAAGGCTTGGTCCATCCATGTTGATCACCGAGAAATTGGATGCAGTCGGCCCTCCGGTAGGAAAGCTGTGAAGGTAGCGGCGAGTTTCTTGATCGCTCGTCCCTTGCTCTGGGCGTTTCTGCCTCCGATGGCTGTGCTTTTCGCTGTGGTCGTGGCGTGCTCTGCTGCCATGGATGATTCGTTTATGTTCCAGAAGCGCCAATTGCTGGTGAAAGTCTTTGTGATGTCTAGATACTGCGGTGCATAAGTGTACATGCCCATGGTGGTCTAGCTCTTTGTCGACGGGAACTTCAACTGTTACCACCACGGACCTGGTTTGTGAAGATGATTCGTCCTAAGTTGCAGAGCTTTGTTGTTTCGACATCCAGATTGCTCTCATTTGCCAGGAACTCACCATTTAGAGCTGTATTGCAGGGGGATTGTGGATGTGGAACTTGTTTCTCGTGGTCTCACTTCCTCTCGATTGAATCGTCTGGAAATGTGCTAGCAATACTCTCTATAAATCCCGTGTAGTGACGTGTGGCCACCTGGCAATGGAAGATACTTTGAATATGCTTTCTTATTTTGCTGCCTCAATGCCGCGTCTGCTGGCTAGGTTTTGGCGATGGCGCGTTCTTCGACCGATCGGAGGGCGGGAGCGCTGGGAGATTTCGATGCGCTCCCGGATGAGCTGCTGTGCTCGGTGCTTGGATTGCTGGAGCCGCGCGACATTGGCGCCATGGCGTGTGTTAGCAGGTATGAAGTGACTGAGCTCTAGGCCCTAGCTCTAGCTTGATCTGTCCCGGTGTTTCAGCGTGTTCTATGTACTGTGCAACGAGGAGCCGCTGTGGATGCGGATTTGCCTGTCGAACCGAGAGCGCGTCGATTCTCTCGTTTACAAGGGCTCTTGGAAGAGGACCGCTATGAAAAACAAGTATGTTTGCATACACTTTTTTCTCCGTTTTGTGTTCGCTAAAGTGCTTGGTTTTCTCATAGAACTGGAAAACTCAATGACAAAATCGAGCAGCTACAATTCAATGGTGGGGTTTTCTTCCATGTCTTCAAAGCTTGCTAAAGCTTGTTCTTTCCTTTGTCCACAGGTTTCACCTCCTTATACCTTTATCGAAGGTGGTATCGGTGCCATATGTCGCTCGAGAATTTCTTCTACGACGCTGGAGCTATTGAAAGACGGAAGGACTCTCCTATGATGTCTTTGTACAAAACTACGATGTTCAGAAACCTGTACGTTTCGGTGAGTGCTCCTGCCAACAGAAATTCTCACATATTTTCTTTTATGCACCAGGTTCTCTTGACTGATCTGGCTGAGGACTGGCCTGCGAGACGAACTTGGACGATAGGCCAACTCGTCCATCGCTACGGTGACTCCGAGTTCAAAGTTTCTCAATCATACGGGCAAAGGATACGCATGACGCTGAAAGATTATGCTGAGTATATGAGGTCCCAACATGATGAAGATCCGCTGTATATATTTGACTCTTCTGTAAGTCCTTGTATTCGAGTGGCAGTTCAGATATTTACTGCTGCTCGCTGTGCAGTTCGGTGAATCTACTCCGGGTCTCCTAGAAGATTATACAGTACCATATTTGTTCAGGGAAGATTTATTCTCCGTTCTAAGTCCATCGCAGCGTCCACCATACAGGTGGCTTGTTATTGGTCCTTCTAGATCGGGTGCTAATTGGCACGTCGACCCTGCTCTTACAAGCGCCTGGAACGCACTTTTATCTGGGAGAAAGAGGTACAAATCACCGTTGTGTATGAAGATGATCCATGAACTGCAATTGATTGAACAGATGGGCATTTTATCCTCCTGGGAGAGTACCGCCTGGTGTGTTCGTTGATGTGAACGAAGACGACGGAGAAATTCATTATGATGGTCCAACATCTCTTCAGGTACATGGAACTTGTTACGGATTGTGTTTACAGCGTTTTCTGCAGTGGTGGATGGATGTTTATCCTTCTCTGGATAACGACAGTAAGCCTTTGGAGTGCACACAACTTCCCGGGGAGACGATCTTTGTTCCCAGTGGCTGGTGGCATTGCGTGCTGAATATCGACGAGACAGTTGCCGTCACGCAAAACTTTGTGAACAGCAGGAACATGGAGCTTGTATGCATCGACATGGCGCCGGGGTTTCATCACAGAGGTGTTGCTCGTGCTGGTCTTTTGGCATTGGACGAGGATGAGTTTGAAGGCGAGCATGATTTTACAAATCCAGAGTTTCTCAAGAAACACATAGGCCCGCACCCTGATCACTTTTTATCCGAAACCAGCGCCGATGGAATGCTGAACAAAAGAGATTTCCGTGACTGGCTTCGAAAACTTCAAGTTGAGAGGCCTGATTTAAGACATCAAATTTGGAAGGTAAGTCTTTCAATCGTGTTTCAGTCAGTATAAAACTCTAGCTGTATTGTTCGTCCTTGTGAAACAGTGTGCTTGTCTAGCTATCGATGCGGGTACATGGCAAAGAAGATTAAGCAGCATCTGCAATGCGCACGACTTCTATTTCAAGGAAGATCAGCACATTCCTGTTGGTCATGGCAGTAGCCCGGTAAGCTGCCCATCTTCGTTATTGCCAAAGCTGATTAACTTTGCAGGTTTACCTGCTTGATGAGTATGCAATCAAGATTTATATACACGAGGACGGAATTGTCACTGCCTTGCAAGAGATTGACCACGAGGTACTTGGTTTTATCGTATTTCGGTTTTTTTTTTTACTGTTTTCTACATGTAGCTCCAATTTTATGCTTTACTTCGAGAAAGCGCATCGCCCTTGGCTGAACATGTTCCGGCTGTTATTGCCAAAGGCATTGTTTACGAAGAAGGTGAACTTTTCAGAGCAGTTCCTTCTGTCGACAGTGGTGAAATACTTTCAACGGGAATGTCTATGGTAAGCTCCAAAGACAGCCGAGCATTTTGGCCATACATTGTCACAAGGCGGTGCCCGGGACAAAACTTAGCTCATTGGTAAGTCCAGTACTTCGTCGATTCGTTTCCCTGTAAATTGTTTTTTTTGGCAGTCGAGGCATGATGAAGGACGATGATTACATTGATCTGGCATCTTTTCTTGGCTGTCAATTACGACACCTTCATACACTGTCGCTTCCGATGAGGGAAGAGCCCGTCCTCGGCATGCCCGACGTACCGCAAGAATGGACACACTTTGTGGCCATGCTTAGGCAGCATCGGCAAACACTTGCGAAACGTCTCAAGGAGTGGTAAATCTAATGTCACGCCGGTTCTTGTTGTCTTCGCTAACTTCAACGCCATCTTCCAGGGGCTCGGTGCCGCGGCATTTGCTAGAAAAGGTCGAGGATTACGTCCCCAAGGATCCTGTCGTGCTTATAGGCGTTGCGAAGGTACCCAGGCTTTCTCGTATTAACTTGTGGGAAACGACAGCCTCATCTAAGTTGATGCTTCTCCGTCACCGCGCAGGTTGAGAATGGCGCCGCTGTGCCGTCGCGCAGCGCGGCTTGGCTTCACATGGACATTATGGAAGACAACATCCAGATGGTCCCTCACGCCAGTTTGGACGGCTTCCAAAACGATAGACGAGCGATGCAGGCGAGATACATCTTCGACTTCGGCGACCTCCGACGCGGTAAGGATCTTCCCACTTTCGCTTGTCGCCCGTTTCTGACGATGCCAGCCTCGGCAACTTCGCAAAAACAGGAGATCCCCTCTACGAGCTGGTCCCGCTGTTCACGGACGTCCTGGAGGCCAATGTGGAGCTCCTGGAGCACTTTCTCGAGTCCTACAAGCTCGACCTCGCGGTGGAGGGCGTGCGAACTTCGTATCGAGCAATGTGAGTCGCCATTAACTCTCTGCTGGAAAAGCGCTTTGATTCCAGACTGACGCGATCGATGCTGGTTCTTTATTCTTGCTACCAGGTGCTATTGTTTACTGTACAAATACGACGCAATGGAGGCCATATTCCGTGGCAGCAAAGAGCTGCGCATGGTGGAATCATGGCATGAGCTGGAGCTCATTCTCTGGGGCATGCTCAACGAATAGACAAAGGCCGTGCTCGTGGGGACCATGGAAGTCGTGTGTGTGTGGGGTGACGTCAGCGGCAGACGTGGAGTGACGCGTGGCGGGGTTGGGGTTTAAGCACCAGACAATCACAAGACAACGCAGCTTTTAACAAGAGAAAACGAGACCCCGTTCCATCCAATCCACCATCGAGGAAGAGGGAGGAAAGCCATCTCCGGCATGGACTAATATATATATATATATATATATATATATATGTATAGATATCAAAGATGGAGCTATCAATCACCAGTGGCACCACCGAACAATGACACACGAAGAGAGGAAGAAGAAAAATAAACATTGATATCAAGAGCAAAGATTGCACAGCTCTTTGAAGTGGACACGGGCCAATCCAAGCAATTTGCTGACCTCTCTAGAACTGTGGAGGTGGTGGAGGTGGTGGAGGTGGTGGTGGTGGTGGTGCTGGGCTCCAAAGTCCAGACTCTCCAGACTCTCCAGAGAGGGAGGGAGAGAGAGAGATAGAGGAGGTCCCATCTCTGCAAGCGAAAAATCTTCACGAATCTTGCTCTTGTTGTTGGTGTTGTTGCTATTGCTGCTGCTGCTGCTGCTACGGGTGATGATGGTGGTGATTGATGATTTAATTGTTGTTGTGGCTGGTGGCCATTTGTTTGAGCGCGGTAAACTTTCAACGATTTGCCACCGCGAGGACAAAATATGATACTTGTCTTCTGCTAAGCTAGCAGCTGAATCCTCAATCACAGTACCGCAAGATCTCACAACAGCAAAGTAAAAATAGAACACATACTGTATAATTTGGAATAAAGTGGTGTTGTGATAGAAGATTGTGTGTGTGTGTGTGTGTTTTCTTGTGCTGGCCTGGAATTTTCTTGTGCATGGAGACTTGTGAATGGCTAGAATCTCTTGCAACCACCGACACCGACCTTATTTTAGTTTTTCCCATTTTTTTTCCCCTTCCGCCACTCCAGAGCATTTCCACTCATTTATACACGCACACATGACTTGCTGTTGGACGCACAGCCAGCCATTCACGAACGCGATCTACAGGGGGGCGAGAAAAGAAAAGCTCGCCCAATCGCAATAGTTTTACCGAGAAAATCTGGAGAGCTTGATCCATCATACTTTCGTCACCCTGTGTATGGCATATGGAACACCTGTGAGATCGGCGATCAAATTGAGAAGATTTTAAGGAGAGAGAGAGAGAGAGAGGATTAAATAAGTGTGTGCCTGGAGAGAGGAGCCAGGAGGAGAGATTATTTTATATGCCCAAGCTCTTCCACACAACACTCCGCCGCGGACCAAAGGCCCATCCCCTCGCTGGGAATCATGAGGCCGAGTCTCTTTGGACAGAAACCAATAAAGAAAACAACTCTTCCCGCCCCAATGACAGGCGGAGTTGTAAAAGCGTCCAAAGAAACACATAACGAACAGAGCAGATAGCCAAACTTAACGAAAAAACGGAAAAAAGGAAAAGAAAAGAAAAGAAAAGATAACACGAGAGAGAGACACACGGCTGTAATCAAACTCAAAGAACGTTTAAGAAGAGACTCCAGTATATACAATTACAAAATCCAATCCAGTTTAGCAGGAAAACCACCCTCTCATTGTTTTGTTCTTGTGTGTGTTTTTTTCTCTCCAGCTTCTCTTCCTGCGCCCCAAGGATGGATGTCTTTGCCAATATACTCGTATGCTTTTTCCTTCTTTATTACTACTTGGCTGATATAATCAATAAAACTCCCTCTAGAGATGTTACGTATACGTATAAGTATGATGGTGGTGAGCCAAAAAAATTTGAGGAACACGGGAATAAAGATAACGTAACAAGAGAAGAGAACGAAAAAACGAAGAAAAAGAAAAAAAAAAAAACAAAAACGAAACCAGGAAGAAGACCGACGAGCAGCAGTCGCAATCCCAAAAGAAAAGAAGCTTTTTTTTTTCGCTCTCGAGGGGCGGTGGAGGTGGCCGAGTGTTGCTGAGAGAGATGTGAGTAGTGACAATGATGCAACGCAAGATCAGGGGGGGGGGAGAGAGGGAAGAGAGTTCACCGACGGTGTACCTTCTGTTCCCCGTTTTCTCGATTTCATTTTTTCTCTCGAAGTTGATGATCGAAGAGGCGGAGGATCTGCTGCTGCTGCTGCTGCTGTTGCTTTGGATCTCTATACAGAATTGATTGATTGATTTTTGTTGCTTGTTGTTAGGCTGTGCGCGAGAAGAAGAGAACCTGTGTTGTCTCCAGTGTTGTCAAAAACGAAGAGGGTGAGAGGAGCCAACGAACGGGGGGCGGGGATGGAAGCAAGAGACAGGAAAGAAAAAGAATTTTAAACCCCCGGGATGGATGATGGCTGGATATATAGCGGCGCAGCTGCTAGAGAAGTTGATGATTCCCTGGTGTTTGATGATGGTGGTGGTGGTGGTGGTGGTGATGATTCGACCCGCCGTAGGCGTGTAGATCCGACGTCCAGCCACCGTTACTCCAGTACCCCGCAGCGTCACTCCCGCTCTCGAAGAATGCCTCGGTCGGTGACGGCTGCCACTGATCCGGCGACGAGGAATCGCCCTGTTGGTCGTAGTCACTGGACGAAACATCCCCCGAGCTCTTGCCTTTGTGGTGGTGGTGGTGGTGCTGCTTCATCTTCTCCACCCCGTGGCTCGCCTCCAAGTCCAGCAGTACGTGATGCCTCCCGCCGCCGCCGCCACCACCGCCGCCGCCGCCGCCGCCGCCGCCGCCTTGATCCTGCTCGCTCCCATCCTCGAGCAAAGACACGAGCTTTGGCTGCTGCGGAAACCTCCACATCATCTCGCCGCTACCTCCATTGAGCCCGAAGTTCTCCACCGGCACGTAAGAGCTCAGCGCCTCGTTCATGGCCGCGTGCGTCCCCATTCCCAGCGAGCCCGGATCGAAGATAGAGTTGATGTCGCCGCCGGCATCGCCGTGAACCGGCTCCTGTTTGATCGGCGCGCCGGGGAGATTCAACCCAAGCATGCTCGGATCAAACTGCTGTGGATGGCTCCCGAGCTGTCCAGTCGCCCAGTTTATCGAGATGGGAGGCGGGCCGGGATGGCTCCCAGCGGCTCCGGGGAAAATCCTCGCCACCCCTCCCTCGACCCTGTCAAACGCCAAGCTTATCCCGTTGCTCGCCTTGGCCACTTGATCGTACAGCCCCGAGCTCGTCGCCACCGGGAATTCCTGCTGTAGCATACTGCTGCTGCTGGCACCGTCGTTCCCCACCATGGCTCCACCCCCTCCCGGAAGACCGCCGCCGCCGTTGGGCTGGCCGGTCTCGTCCGACGAGGCCGCTGGAGGACCCGGATGGTCCTGCTGCCGCTGCTTGACGCGCTTGTTCTTCCGGCACCCGCCACCCACGGGGACGTTCCTCAGCGCCCCTCCCTTGGTCCAGTAGCGCTTGCAGTTCTTGCAGAAATGCCGGGGCTGCGTGAGGCTGTAGTTGTTGTAGTAGCAAAACTTGGTGTTCATCGAGTCGCAGCGGGGGCACTTGAGGACTTGATCCGAATGCGGCTTGAGCCGCCGCTCTTGCTGGCCCGGCTGCTGGTGCTGCTGGTGCTGCTGCCCCGGCCTCGACTGGCAGAGCAACTGATCCGGAGGAGGGGGCTTCAAGCTGCTGGTGGAGGACGAGACGTCCGTGAGCGATGGCTGCGGGACGACTCCAACGCCAACTCCAACTCCTCCCACCGTGTGGAGAAGGGGCGCCTGTTGCGATCCATCAAAGCCTGACGAGTCCCCCACCTGATCCCGACCATAATTGCTCAACAGCATGACACCACCACCACCACCGGACCAAGCTCGTCCAAAATTCCTGCCTTTGATGATGCCTGGTTGTCCGATCAAGAAGCTCTCACACCCTGCGATCACAGGAGAAGAAAAAAGAGAGAGACAAAACCATTAGCACAGCGGATGATGATCCAATTTTAAAGATTTTAAAGAAGCCAAGCGAGCCATGGATCTAAAAGCATGCAAAGCTCCCATGCAACCATCCTTTGGAGAAAATGCGGCATTTAGAGGAGAGTGTTTTTTACCCTGTGATGGGCGATGATCAAACTGCATGAAGATCACGATCGAGGATGCTCTTCTTCTCGTTGCCGTGCTCCTGCCCTGTGATCTCCCCCTTGAAAACTATCATTGCCCGAGAGAGGTGTGTGTGAGAGAGAGAGAGAGAGAGAGATCGAAGAAATTAAACCACCAATTTGCGCCTACCACTCTCCTCCTCTTCGCGAGAATTCCCTGCTGCCTTGGCTGCCCGGACGGATAATCAAATAATTCGCATACGGAATGGCGTACGGCATTGCGTCTGGGAGCCGGATTTCGCCATTGGAGCGAGCGCTCGATCGATCCCCAATCCCTGCGAGCGCAAATCGTCCCCCACCAACGATGATCAATGCGTTGACGAGAGGCCTCGCAAATCTGCGGTGCCCGCCCGGCAATGCAACAATCTTTCGCTGCTCTGCCCCGCCTGTGCAATCCCCGCGCCGAGATCCAAGATGTCTCGATCAAGAACACTGGATGGAGCTGGAGCTCGAGGACGCATCTTCATCGATCACGTCCACTTCATCGCAGAATCATAATATCCGCCACAGCCGAGCAGCACACGCAAGAGATGTGCCTGCGTGTTCTATCTAAGCCGAGGCTTTTGCTTTCTCCCCTTTCTTTTCCCTCCACACAGAGATTTCCACTCTCCCTCTCTCCTCACACGAATGCCTGTCGCATCGATCCAAGCCGAGGAGCGCCCTACCTAGCTAAGATCATCCTCGCACGCGCTGAATTGGCCACGGCCGATGATCTTGGAAAGATCGACGAGAAGATCACTAAACGGCAATTCCCGACGACTCCTCCAACGATCGAGTGGGAAATCCAAGGGAGCGATGGGAAAAAGATCGCCACGGAGCTACCGGAGCGCGATATTTCGATCGATAACGATAGAAGAAGAGAGAGAGAGAGCGCAGCCGCCAGGCGCTACTAGGCTTTTCCTCCCTGATCCTCGATTTTCACAATGCGAGACCTAGCAGCGCCCTGGAGTAGCTCGCGCTCGCCATTTTTCTTCCCCCAAGAACCCTCTCCCACAAATCTCTAGGGTTCTCCCTGGCACACCAGACAAAGCACCAAGCTCTGGACGGACAATGGGGCAATTTGCCCGATCCCAGCAAATGCCCTAAGGGGATTAAAAAAAACCCGATCACGCCAGTGCCAGGTGTGAACACGTCCACGATAGTGTCTGGGCCGGACGCCAATGAAAGACGCCTGCTGCTGGTCTGAAGAGGGAGAGCGCGGAAGAGAACCATGCCGATGCCGTGGAGCAAACGGGAGCGTTGGATCTCGACGCGGGAGATTGCACGAGAACGAATGGACAAGGGAGAGGGCAGGCGTGGGCTGATGCCGGTCGTTGGATGCGACACATCGGGGCCGTCGGGTGTGGAGGATATTTGGGCCTGGGACACGCGTCAGCCGGTGAGAGGCAGCGTGCGAGAGGGCCCGGTTCCCCAGGCCCCGACACCGCATTATCTCGCGACGCACACATACACACACAAATATCGTACGGTAAATTTTGGCAACAAAAGAAAAATGGTTTATAAAGTATAAAAATGCGAAACAGAAATTCAGAAATGCATGTGTCTGGAAATAAATAAAGGTTTTTTAAGCTGGCGGGAAATTGTTTTTCTACAATGGAATGTTGTGTTGGAGCGGGCGATGGTGGGGTGTGGGCCGCCACCGCGAGCGTACACGCGTCATGCAGGCCACTCCCGGCCGTACAGTTATCCCCCGCATATTATTTTAGGGTTCTTCCGTGGCTCCGGAGAATGCAGGTGAAGGCTTTGAATTTTGGTCTACTTCCCATCTTCACATTGACTTCCAGGTCGTGAAATAGATTTTCTTCCAGCTGAATCTCAAAGGACGGTTGCCTGTAACCCCAAGGCAATAAGAAACAAAAGACCAGAGAATTCATCCTTGAAGAGCCTCGTCTCGGGTGAAGGCTAAGTAAAAGCAAGCTTTGACAATAAAGAGTCTATTTCACTAGATTCAACGTGCACGCGTTAAAATGTTTTGTAGCTCAGCTGGCCAGGTGAGTTGGATTGCTCCAAGATACCAGTCGTGTTTTACGGGTCTCAAGGTTGTGACATCAGGTGGAAAAACCACATTTTTTTCAAGGAACGCAAAGCTTTCCTTGAAAGATAGGCAAGTTTGTGCCTTTACAAATTACAAAAGAAAAGGAAAGAAAAACTATTAGGAGAGTCTGCTACTTCCTTTTGAGAGGTTTTCTCCATTTGGATGGCTTATATTGTAATAATTTGTCTGATTTTGATAGTATTGTTTGAATTTTGGCTATCACCGCCAAGCTTTTTTACAAAGGATTACTCTGACTTGGCAGTTCTTGCCGAGTATACGATCCTCTAACAATAGTAGCAGCAGCACAAGGGGCACCTAGGGCCTGCAGCATAGTTGTGCAATATAGTAGCTTATAGCACACAACGTTCTTCGCAAATGCTTTGCTAGGATCCACGATCATTGCAGGGCATGTCGGGGTGTGCAGGAGGTTGCCGCGCTGCCATTATAAACATTTTCTGTTGATTTTGGTCTATGGCTCCACTGCCGATCCAAGCAGAATGATCTGCGGATTCTTCCTGGAGTCGTGGTGACTGTCAAACTAGCCTTCTTTCTGTTGTGCACACAAAACAAAAGAATGAAATATTGTTTAAGATGTTCTAATATTGTAATTTTGATTATTTATAGCGTCAATTAAAAATAAAATTTCAACCATTATATATTTTGCTATAGCTATATGATAATAACATTACTTGTATTAAATTTTAGTTATATTACATATTACCCTACTATAATTTTTAAAGGTAATAATAAGAAAATAATCTTTACACTTTTAAAAAAGTAAAAAAATGTTATTTAGTTAGTTTCTTGAAACTATGAATTGTTTTTTGATAAACACATTTTCTATTGGCCCAATCATATTGATTTCTTTATGTTTTCACTAACAAATTGCATCCTCAATTATAAAAAACTTGAAGCTATGTATCAAAATATATTAAAATATGATAATAAATAAACATTAATTTAATTATAGAAAAATTATTTTAATTTATAAAAATATATAAATTAATATATTATTAATTAAATATAGTCTTTAATATTAAAATAATTAAATAGTCTTCCCAATGTCAATAAAATGAATATTTTAGAACTCTAAGGTAAAAGTTAAATTCTATAAATAAAACTTTATTATAGTGATTATATTTATAAAATTTATCCTCACTATATTATAGATTCTCTCTTTGAATCATTAAGCAATAGTTGCAATCTGGAGTAAATAATTGTATAACAATCAAACTTGGTGTGGTGAGTTTCATTATCAGCTTGAACTAAATATCCATCTCTTTTAAGAATAAATTATTATTTTTATATATAATAATTTATTATAAAATATTACAAATAAAATTATATTGTGAAAAATCTGTGATAATATATTAGATGGATTAGATGGCAGATTAAAGGATTAACTAAAAAGCAGTTCACCAAACACTTGAGGCGCTTATTTCTTTTTTAGATCTAAATCTATATTAACTTTTAGGCAAATTTAGATTTCTAACTATCAATTTGATTAAATTTATTCTTTCTTTTGATCTTCATTGCAATCTTATCTTCTGCTATGCCATGCTATCATCAATTAAGGAATATATCATTTAAGCTTGTTAATACTACTCTATTGGATTGAGATTTTGATGTTGTGGGGTGCAATTATATTAGACTTACACCTATTTAATGTGGTGTTGCCTCCAGCTTTCATTATACAACTTATCATAATCTTGGTGTTCTACCATTTTCCATTGATGTGGGGTGGTTGTGATATTAATTGACAAGTTATAGATGATGTAGTCTAGTTTTTGGAGAATGTTTAAAGATCAAGTTTATATGATAATGATGTTTACATGCCCAAATAGTTTTTGGATGAGGAACTTGATTATTATGCAAATAATTTTGGAGAAGAGTTAAAAATTTCATAGAATAGGCCCTTGTCCACATAAAAGTCTCTTAGAAGTGCTTGTCCACCACGTTGTCAGGAAGGTTTGCAACTCTTTCAACTCCAAGCTATTCCTTAGGTTTCCTATCGTGAACACCACTAGATTGCCCAATTTCAGGGATTTGTGTTGGTGATGGTGGCAGTGGTGGCGGGGGCAAAGGCAATAGTGGCACTGGTGGTGGCAATGGTGGTGGTGGCGGTGGCGAT